AGCTCCCAAGCAGTAAACTGACGCAGCTTTCACAGAAAAAGAAGGCAAAACAGCAGCATATCAAAAAAATCTCCCTTGTGCCAGAAATACTTAAGTTGCTCTCAAGCAGTAAACCCACGCAGCTTTCACAGAAAAAGAAGGCAAAACAGCAGCATATCACAAATGTCTCACTTGTGGCAGAAATACTCAAGTAGCTCTCAAGCAGTAAACTCACGCAGCTTTCACAGAGAAAGAAGGCGAAACAGATGCATATCACAAATGTCTCACTTGTGTCAGAAATACTCAAGTAGCTCTCAAGCAGTAAACTCACGCAGCTTTCACAGAGAAAGAAGGCAAAACAGAAGCATATCAAAAATATCTCACCAATGTCAAAAATACTCAAGTAGCTCTCAAGCAGTAAACTCACGCAGCTTTCACAGAGAAAGAAGGCAAAACAGATGCATATCACAAATGTCTCGCTTGTGTCAGAATTACTCAAGTAGCTCTCAAGCAGTAAACTCACGCAGCTTTCACAGAGAAAGAAGGCAAAACAGATGCATATCACAAATGTCTCACTTGTGTCAGAAATACTCAAGTAGCTCTCGAGCAGTAAACTCACGCAGCTTTCACAGAGAAGACAAATCAGAAGCATACCACAAATGTCTCACTTGTGTCAGAAATACTCAAGTAGCTCTCAAGCAGTAAACTCACGCAGCTTTCACAGAGAAAGAAGGCAAAACAGATGCATATCAAACATATCTCACTTGTGTCAGAAATACTCAAGTAGCTCTCAAGCAGTAGACTCACGCAGCTTTCACAGAGAAAGAATGCAAAACAGATGCATATCACAAATGTCTCACTTGTGGCAGAAATACTCAAGTAGCTCTCAAGCAGTAAACTCACGCAGCTTTCACACAAAGAAAGAAGGCAAAACAGATGCATATCACAAATGTCTCACTTGTGTCAGAAATACTCAAGTAGCTCTCAAGCAGTAAACTCACGCAGCTTTCACAGAGAAAGAAGGCAAAACAGATGCATATCACAAATGTCTCACTTGTGTCAGAAATACTCAAGTAGCTCTCAAGCAGTAAACTCACGCAGCTTTCACAGAGAAAGAAGGCAAAACAGATGCATATCACAAATGTCTCACTTGTGTCAGAAATACTCAGGTAGCTCTCAAGCAGTAAACTCACGCAGCTTTCACAGAGAAAGCAAAACAGATGCATATCACAAATGTCTCACTTGTGTCAGAAATACTCAAGTAGCTCTCAAGCAGTAAACTCACGCAGCTTTCACAGAGAAGACAAAACAGAAGCATACCACAAATGTCTCACTTGTGTCAGAATTACTCAAGTAGCTCTCAAGCAGTAAACTCACGCAGCTTTCACAGAGAAAGAAGGCAAAACAGATGCATATCACAAATGTCTCACTTGTGGCAGAAATACTCAAGTAGCTCTCAAGCAGTAAACTCACGCAGCTTTCACACAAAGAAAGAAGGCAAAACAGATGCATATCACAAATGTCTCACTTGTGTCAGAAATACTCAAGTAGCTCTCAAGCAGTAAACTCACGCAGCTTTCACAGAGAAAGAAGGCAAAACAGCAGCATATCACAAATATCTCACTTGTGTCAGAAATACTCAAGTAGCTCTCAAGCAGTAAACTCACGCAGCTTTCACAGAGAAGACAAAACAGAAGCATACCACAAATGTCTCACTTGTGTCAGAATTACTCAAGTAGCTCTCAAGCAGTAAACTCACGCAGCTTTCACAGAGAAAGAAGGCAAAACAGATGCATATCACAAATGTCTCACTTGTGTCAGAAATACTCAAGTAGCTCTCAAGCAGTAAACTGACGCAGCTTTCACAGAGAAGACAAAACAGAAGCATACCACAAATGTCTCACTTGTGTCAGAAATACTCAAGTAGCTCTCAAGCAGTAAACTCACGCAGCTTTCACAGAGAAAGAAGGCAAAACAGATGCATATCACAAATGTCTCACTTGTGTCAGAAATACTTAAGTAGCTCTGAAGCAGTAAACTCACGCAGCTTTCACAGAGAAAGAAGGCAAAACAGATGCATATCACAAATGTCTCACTTGTGTCAGAAATACTCAAGTAGCTCTCAAGCAGTAAACTCACGCAGCTTTCACAGAGAAGACAAAACAGAAGCATACCACAAATGTCTCACTTGTGTCAGAACTACTCATGTAGCTCTCAAGCAGTAAACTCACGCAGCTTTCACAGAGAAAGAATGCAAAACAGATGCATATCACAAATGTCTCACTTGTATCAGAACTACTCAAGTAGCTCTCAAGCAGTAAACTCACGCAGCTTTCACAGAGAAGACAAAACAGATGCATATCACAAATGTCTCACTTGTGTCAGAACGACTCAAGTAGCTCTCAAGCAGTAAACCCACGCAGCTTTTACAGAGAAAGAAGGCAAAACAGATGCATAGAAAAAAATATCTCACTTGTGTCAGAAATACTCAAGTACCTCTTAATCAGTAAACTCAAGCAGCTTTCACAGAGAAGGCAAAACAGACGCATATCACAAATGTCTCACTTGTGTCAGAAATACTCAAGTAGCTCTCAAGCAGTAAACTCACGCAGCTTTCACAGAGAAAGAAGGCAAAACAGATGCATATCACAAATGTCTCACTTGTGTCAGAAATACTCAGGTAGCTCTCAAGCAGTAAACTCACGCAGCTTTCACAGAGAAAGCAAAACAGATGCATATCACAAATGTCTCACTTGTGTCAGAAATACTCAAGTAGCTCTCAAGCAGTAAACTCACGCAGCTTTCACAGAGAAGACAAAACAGATGCATATCACAAATGTCTCACTTGTGTCAGAAATACTCAAGTAGCTCTCAAGCAGTAAACTCACGCAGCTTTCACAGAGAAGACAAAACAGAAGCATACCACAAATGTCTCACTTGTGTCAGAAATATTCAAGTAGCTCTCAAGCAGTAAACTCACGCAGCTTTCACAGAGAAAGAAGGCAAAACAGATGCATATCACAAATGTCTCACTTGTGTCAGAAATACTCAAGTAGCTCTCAAGCAGTAAACTCACGCAGCTTTCACAGAGAAAGAAGGCAAACAGATGCATATCAAAAATATCTCACTTGTGTCAGAAATACTCAAGTAGCTCTCAAGCAGTAAACTCACGCAGCTTGCACAGAGAAAGAAGGCAAAACAGACGCATATCAAACATATCTCACTTGTGTCAGAAATACTCAAGTAGCTCTCAAGCAGTAAACTCACGCAGCTTTCACAGAGAAAGAAGGCAAAACAGATGCATATCACAAATGTCTCACTGTGTCAGAAATACTCAAGTAGCTCTCAAGCAGTAAACTCACGCAGCTTTCACAGAGAAAGAAGGCAAAACAGATGCATATCACAAATGTCTCACTTGTGTCGAAATACTCAAGTAGCTCTCAAGCAGTAAACTCACGCAGCTTTCACAGAGAAAGAAGGCAAAACAGATGCATACCACAAATGTCTCACTTGTGTCAGAAATACTCAAGTAGCTCTCAAGCAGTAAACCCACGCAGCTTTCACAGAGAAAGAAGGCAAAACAGCAGCAAATCAAAAATATCGCACTTGTGTCAGAAATACTCAAGCAGCTCTCAAGCAGTAAACTCGCGCAGCTTTCACAGAGAAAGAAGGCAAAAAAGATGCATATCACAAATGTCTCACTTGTGTCAGAAATACTCAAGTAGCTCTCAAGCAGTAAACTCACGCAGCTTTCACAGAGAAAGAAGGCAAAACAAATGCATATCAAAAATGTCTCGCTTGTGTCAGAAATACTCAAGTAGCTCTCAAGCAGTAAATTCACGCAGCTTTCACAGAGAAAGAAGGCAAAACAGATGCATATCACAAATGTCTCACTTGTGTCAGAAATACTCAAGTAGCTCCCAAGCAGTAAACTCACGCAGCTTTCACAGAGAAAGAAGGCAAAACAGATGCATATCACAAATGTCTCACTTGTGTCAGAAATACTCAAGTAGCTCCCAAGCAGTAAACTCACGCAGCTTTCACAGAGAAAGAAGGCAAAACAGATGCATATCACAAATGTCTCATTTGTGTCAGAAATACTTAAGTAGCTCTCAAGCAGTAAACTCACGCAGCCTTCACAGAGAAAGAAGGCAAAACAGCAGCATATCACAAATGTCTCACTTGTGTCAGAAATACTCAAGTAGCTCTCAAGCAGTAAACTCACGCAGCTTTCACAGAGAAAGAAGGCAAAACAGCAGCATATCACAAATGTCTCGCTTGTGTCAGAAATACTCAAGTAGCTCTCAAGCAGTAAACGCACGCAGCTTTCACAGAGAAAGAAGGCAAAACAGATGCATATCACAAATGTCTCGCTTGTGTCAGAAATACTCAAGTAGCTCTCAAGCAGTAAACTCACGCAGCTTTCACAGAGAAAGAAGGCAAAGCAGATGCATATCAAACATATTTCACTTGTGTCAGAAATACTCAAGTAGCTCTCAAGCAGTAAACTCACGCAGCTTTCACAGAGAAAGAAGGCAAAAAGGACGCATATCACAAATGTCTCGCTTGTGTCAGAAATAAATATTCAAGATTATTCAAGGTATATCAGTTTATATAAAAGTGTTCCATAGCTTTCCAAGATGTTCCAACATGTTCTAACGTTTTCCAACAAGGCAGAAGGCTTTCAGAAGGCCTCGGGGCCGCTCAGGCTCTGGCTTGGCGATCCAAAAGGCTCTCATTGACTCCGACCGCCTGCAACTCCGATTTGATTCTTTCTCGCAACTTTTACCAATGGGAGTTGCAACTCTCAGTTGTTTTTTCTAGAGTCTACTGAGATCCACTGAGATCTCCCGAGCACTGAGCAACTCCTAATTACTATGTCTGAACGTACAGATTACTCCATGTAGCTTCTAGCTCATTGCATCTCATTGCTACATCTCGGGATGTTTCAGGTCTCTATATGGATGTTTCATATCTTTTTTCTTTCTATTCTTTCTCTCAGGTCTTTGTCTCACTTTGTCTCACTTTGTCGCCTTCAAAAAGTTCCACATCTCCATGATCCAATCCTCCTGGATGGCTTTGAAGTCAGCCTGGACAAAGCCACGAACGACAAGTCACAGCAAGTCACAGCAACTTAAGAAGTCTTAAGAAGTCTTGAGACAACAAGTTAAGACAAAGCCTTTCATCACAGAACGCACCGAAGTTCGGATTTGACATTTCCGATTTCTCTGAAAGTGTTCAGAAATCATCAATCGCGATTGGTTTTGCAAACATGTGACTAAAATGCCACTCAGTGCTTAGACTAGTTTAGATGTTTGGTTTCGAACATTTGTTGCCTCTGGATCGATGAAGTACTCGATCTCCATTTGTTCAAATTCCCGTGATCGGAACAAAAACTGCCTCAAGGGCATGCACGACGTCTGAACTCCAGCAGTGACATGTCCCCAACTTTGCTAAATCATACAAAATCTGCTGAATTTGAGGGGATATGATTTATATTGATTTATGATGATGTGCATAGGTAGTGTGCGGCACGTCAGGAAGTCTTGTTGCAGCAGCTTGCCACGAGTGCGAAGCGTCTTCATTGGGATACATTGGGAACAGTGGCGTCTACCGTCTCCTACCATGAAATTAGATTCGTATGATTCGTGTGAGGCGGGGTTCCAGTGAAAATGGCAACGAAGAAATGAAACATGAAACAAATCAAAATGGCAGGTTGAAAGGTGAAAGGTGTTGAAAGGTCGTTGGCTCTTGCTCTGAATCTGAATCGAAATTTCGGCTTCGCCTCGCCCGGTCTACCTGGCCTGGGGGTAATTTCGTTGCGGAAGGCTTTGCCAATCTGCGCGATGCCAAAGGGGATCTTTTGTCGCATAACATATGCCACCTGAGCCGTGACACACCCCGTGACACGACATCGTGAAGAAATCGAAGAAATCGAAGAAATCGAAGAAATCGATTTGAAATGGACTTGGCCAACTTTGCAAACTCTACGGCCTATTGAAGCATGCACTGAAGCATGCACTGAAGCCTGCGCTGGTTTATTCTCACCCGAACTCCGGCCTGCTTGAAGTTCACAAAGATCCCCTGGGCACAGCAGTTTGGTTCGCCAGAACTGTTCTCTTCAAAGCAAACGAGAGACATCATGAGACATCTTCCAGTAGATGTCTTCACACAAGTTTCGCTTGCAACATGCGATGTGTCCTCCTACAGCGTCTTCGTAGCTGCAAACATAGTTTGAACAAATTTGAACAGTTCTGCTGGAGTTTCAGTCAGGGAAATGTGCATCCTGTGCTTTGCTAAGTAATCATGACTATTCATTACGTATGTTTACTCAGATCATGTCGTTTTCATGTTCATTCTTTGCATTGCGTATATTCACATAACAATAAAGAAAAACATATTTTATATATATGTGTGTGTGCGTGTAAATATTTATATATAATATGATTATATATGTATGTGTATATTTGTAAATTCATATTAAGCATCTGTGCCAGCGGAGCGCACTTTGACAGGTTCCTTGTTGAATTCCTGCGGGGAGTTCCTGTGGAAATTCTCCGAGGCTGATCTGGTCATGGTTTCGTTCACCTTTAACACTGACACTGCCAGTTTCTATACAGTTTTAAATGTTTTATACAGTTCACCAGCTTCTTCCAACAGCTTGCATCATTGAACTGTTTTCCTACATTGAACCACATAAAACATACATCAACCTACAATGTTACAAGATGTTCCAAGAGTCTTATACGAGAATTATACTTTCGAGAACATACCAGAGTCGAGTCTACTCTCGAGACGGCGTGTCTGATGTCAGGCCTGAGCCGTCTCTGGCCGCAAATAGCCTCGGTCACCGCACACATGACGAAACAGGAAGACAATGGCAGAGACTGGAAGAGAAAATAAGGACCACATACAACGAATAAGAAGAAAACTGATGAAAACTGATTTAAAAAATGGGTAAACAAAGGAAGGCTTAAAAAAATAACATCAGAAGTAAAATCGTCAAGTCAGCAAATGGTAAACTGATGATTTTTTCTTAGAATGAAATAATTGTGATGAATCATGTGATGAGTCATGTGATTTGCTGATGATACTCGTGACGTGCACCACATGTGCAAAACATGCGCATGATGTGTGCATAAGAAGTGCAAAACACGTGCCACATTACATGCAGAGATACACGTTGTATAACACCTTGTAAAAAATGCACAAAATTGCAAGTTTTTACTTCGCATAATTGTTATGTTCTGGCTGGTTGGTGTCTGTGTGTGTACGTTCTGTGACAGGGTCACGGCAGGGATCTAGGGCTCTTGGACGTGTAAAGAGTCTGTGTGAGCATCGTATCAACACGTTGTAAAAACCTGAGAAAGGAGGAGCGAAAACCAGGGGAATTCAAGAAAACGAGTTCCTTCTACCTACTGTACCTCCATTCAAGGACCATTACGGGCGAAACTCCATCCAGGCCAAGAGAAATCTGTTTCAGACAACAATGTTCACATGCCCTTGTGCAATCGTTGCACCCATAATGGTCCCACATCGGAGCCCGACAGATAGGGGTAGAAGAGTCAACATAAAATGGTGTGAAGTAATGTCCTGGTTCTGGGTCTTGACCTATGTACTGTGCTCAGCCATCTGGCGAGGAAGGACATGGGAAAAAATAGCCGTTGAGTTCTATAGCCTGTGCAAGCAGTGCCATTCCCCTCATCGTACTCACCCTCCTTTCCCTTGCGCTTCCCTTGTACGTCTCCCCCAAAATGCACCTCCAGGGACGGACCGAGGGGGAATCGATACCCCACCGTCACCCAATTGCCACCTGGCACGTGCCCCTCAAAAATGCTTAAACAACTCCACTCCACCTAATTCCGTGATTTCGGGTACCTTGGGCACGCTCTGCCCCCATGGCCCAAGCCCCCTCAACTCACTTTGTTCGCAAAAAAAAAACTTTGCCGCCTAGCCTAGCGGCTGGTTTTCGTAACAAGGTGTAAAAACCAAAAACAACATCGTATCACACACCTGTCCATCTTCATACATCGGACACCCTCACAGAACAAGACGATGACGCAATAACAAGACAATGATATCTCAGCAAACACAAAACAAGACAATATCTTAATATATTAAGAAAAACAAGTATACAAGTAGAACCTGCGCAAGACGGGTGGCGGAAGTTTCCGGGTTTAAGAAGTGTGGCGCTGTATAGGATCCAAAGACCAGGTTTGCGCATAGGAGATGCAGCGGACCCTCGCAGCCTTTCAACTCTGTCCTGTGAATTCGTCGTCATTTTGCCTCACCCCCTTTCAATTTTGACCACCACTTCTCAACTCTTCTCAAACCATCTCAGCTCTTCTCAATTTTCGCAACTCTTTTCGACAGCTTTCAAACTTGTTCCATCTCTTCCCACCTCAGCTCATGACTCTTTTCACCTCTTCCCTGCTCTTCTCAACTCTTCTCGGCGACTCTCACCTCTGCCCACCTCGTCTTAACTCTTCTCAACTCGTCTCACCTCTTGCCACCTCTTCAACTCTTCCCACCTCTTCTCACCTCCGCTCAACTCACCTCACCTCTTTCTCAGCTCATATCAACTCTTCTCACCTTCTCAACTCTGGCCAACTCTTCTCAACTCTGCTCACCTCCTGTCACAGAGATGCTTACGCACAGTGCAAACTCGGAGAAGCATTTACACACAGCAAGCTCTTACGTTACACAGAGAAGCTCTTAGACGCAGAAGCTTTTACACACAGCAAGTTTTTACACACAGCAAGCTTTTGCAATGCGATTCACGACTCTCAGCTGCAACACAATAGTATACGCACGCACCCGCAGCAGCCAGGAACCTTGGTTGACGCAGCCATTCCACTGCGATCTGCACAGACTGAGTTGCTGAGCACAATTGCGACACACTACTGTAGAACACATCACTTTGATGCAGCAGTTCCAATGCACAAGGTATCTCAGCACATGCAAAACACAAGAGCACAGCATCCACATCCACAAAGAAGAGAAAAAGTAACCAGGGACGTTCAGTTACACTGCGCGCGCAAATCGAACAGGAATCGACGGCAAAGCAAGGATCGCCGCACCCGACGCGCAAGCGAGCCTACTTTTCTCCGCAACAGACCCGCCGTTTGCCCGAAACCAGATGCAGACCACGAACCCAAATGCAGTCACGTAGAACACTTTTGTGAAAGGCACCAGTGCACTGTAGACTGAGGAATGCGGAAGAGGGCGGAGTGTGAAGTGTGGAGTGTGGAGTGTAGAGTGTAAAGTGTAGAGTGTAGAGTGCGGAGTGTAAGCGTGGAGTGTAAAGTGTGGAGTGTGGAGTGTGCAGTGCAAAGTGTGGAGTGTAAATTGTAAAGTGTGGAGTGTGGAATGTAAAGCGCAGAGTGTAAAGTGTAGAGTGTAAATTGTAAAGTGTCGAGTGTGGAGTGTGGAGTGCAAAGTGTAGAGTGTAAAGTGTGGAGTGAGGGTCTAAAGTGTGGAGTGTGGAGTGTGCAGTGCGGAGTGTGGAGTGTAGAGGGTGAAGTGTAAAGTGTAAAGTTTAGACTGTAAAGTGTAAAGTTTAAGTGTAAGGTCTGGAGTGCGAAGCGCGGAGTGCAAAGTGTAAAGTGCAAAGAGTGTGGAGTGTAAAGTGTAGAGTGTGGAGTGTGGAGTGTAAAGTGTGGGGTGTGGAGTGTAGAGTGTGGAGCGTGGAGTGTAGAGAGTGAAGTGTAAAGTGTAGAGTGTGAAGTGTAAAGTTTGAAGTGTGAAGTCTGGAGTGTGGAGTGTGAAGCGTGGAGTGCAAAGTGTAAAGTACAAAGTGTGGAGTGTAAAGTGTGGACTTTAAAGTGTGGAGTGTAAAGTGTGGACTTTAAAGTGTGGAGTGTAGAGTGTGGAGTGAGGAGTGTAAAGTGTGGAGTGTAGAGTGTAAAGTGTGAAGTGTACAGTGTAAAGTGTGGAGTGTAAAGTGTAAAGTGTGGAGTGTGGAGTGTGGAGTGTAGCGTAGTGTAGTGTAGTGTATTGTAGTTTAGTGTAGTGTAGTGTAGAGTGTGGAGTGTGAAGTGTAAAGTGTGCAGTGTGCAGTGTGAAGTGAGGAGTGTAGAGTGTAAAGTGTAAAGTGTAAGTGTGGAGCGCACCTGCCACAAAAACTGCAACTCATCGTCTGAAAACGACGCAAAAGTATGACGTCTGCGACACAAAACGACTTTCGACACGTTATCAAACAGGCTGGAATGTCACGAAGCGCCACGCCTGCCACGTAAAACGACATGACAACTTGCTTTGAAACATTCGAAAATGAAAGGTTTTGCGGCTTACCCCATGGACACGGCGAGGCCACAGGAAAACCAGAGGCTCGAGACGAGACATGTTGGAGCATCAAAACAAGCATTTCGTGTAAGACTTCCTCCATTTTTCCACTTTGTCTGTAGCTTCAAAATTCAGGTTTTCCTACGAGTTTTCCTCAGAACCTGAAGATTTTTGCAACCTCAAAATCTATGTTTCGTGCGAGGCATCCGCCACTTTTCAGCACATCTCACAAATTGCCATGCCCACCACGCAATTTGCACCTTGTCGACACTTGACGCGGCCCTGACAATGCGATTCGCAAAAAACACGCAGCACGACACGTCTAAAGTGCTGCGCTTGCCACGCAAAATGACGATGGACACGTCCAAAGTGCTGCGCCTGCCACGAAAACTGCAGCATCTTCTGAATACGTTGCAAAAGTACTGCGCTTGCCACACAAAACCATTTCCGACACGTTACGAAGCGCCACGCCTGCCACGCAAAACGAAGCTACGTAACGCTGGAAACATCCACAAGTGACCCTCTTGCAGAACTTACCATGGGCACGGCCATACAGTCCTCACGCGAACGGTTGCGAACGGCTGCGGACGGCGAACGGTT